GCCCGGCTGAAGGGATGAAGTAGGATGCTTTTCCTATGTTAATTTAGGTACCGGACAAGAATGAAGGTAGTGATAAAAAAGCAAAGATAAGTGTAGAAAATGCAAAATAGACTAAATTAAAAGCTATGTGAGAAAAAAATGGAACAAACATGGGTGATGTGGAGCCTGACAGGAGAGGGAGCTGCCGGCTACCGTGGCCAGCTCTGGGGGCCACCACAGCAGGCAGAGCTGCTGCAGTCACTGGGAGCCGCGAGCCTCGCGTGTACAGGCCGTTCACACTGAGTGTCGTGTCCTTTCTGCAAATGCTAGCCTTGTCTTGTCATTTATACCCCTTTCCCATGAAGTTGAATGTTTTAGAGCTTGACTCTATAACCCTAAAACACTGAAAAACTTCCTGTTCTTTACAAATCTGCTTCATCAATGCCTAGCTTAAAATTTTTACTGCTCTCTGAATTTGTGTAGGAACCTTATCCCACAATCAGACAGAGAGGTGATAGGTAAACAGATGCATTGTGTATATTTGCGTGTGTGCGCGTGTGCGTGCGTGTGGTTGTTGGCTTACATGAGCTCACAGCAGCACATTGCAGAATCATAATAATTGAGTGTGTAGTAATTTCTATGCAATAATCATTGTCTGTATACACAAGCGTGTGTGTGGGTGTGAGTAGAGAGATAGGTGTCCCTCACTACCCATGTGTGAACTGCCTCCACAGGCCCCAGTGACATCAGGGCCTGAGGGTGCTCAGGGCTTTTATTTAAAATGCCCTAGTTCCTACACAGAATCTGGGGAAACCCTCTTACATTTTAAACTCCCCCAATTACTTATAACATCTAGTACAAGGTAAATGTTATATAAATACTACCTGAGAGACATTGAATGAATAATAACCTTGAAAAATGCCTATATATGTTCGGTAAAGATGTAACTTTTCCCCACATACTTTTGACCTGAGGTTGGCCAGATGCACAGGCGTGGAACTCAGGACGCAGAGGCTGATTGTGTGGCTGCACATGTGGATCTCCATGTGTACCTGCGGATTATGAACACACAATGTGCTCACAGGAAGTGCCAGTAATTGGGTTCATTTCTTGAATTGCATTTGAATATTTGCAACAGAAACCACAATATTTGTATTACACCTCCAGCAGCAGCAGCGTTTCATCCTTTTGCTAGAACATGCATTTTTGCACATGAGAAGAGCCACAGCGGCGCCTGGATCCTGGCATGCGACGCGCACCACTTGGTTTAGGGCGCAGCTGGCTCGTGGTGAGCAGCCACAGGAAGCAGCGATGAGTCGGAAGGAAGCCGGTCGCCAGAGGACGCAGAGCGAACCTCGTGGACGTGGCTCCTGGAGAGGACCGGGCGCGGGGTGGAGGCGTGCGGAGCCCATAAGGGACGCGCGCCTTCACACCCAGAACCGGAGATTACTTTCTGCTGATGCTGCCTCCATTCCTGCTGTTGCATCTTTTCTGTATTTGCTCTCGCATGCTCTCACGGTCATGGAAAAGGGACATGATTTTGCCACCGCCCTGCGTCACCTCCACTATTCCCTTGATCCTCTCATAAGGAGATCATGCAGTGTTCTTGCTGCGCCTGGTGTCGGGAGGTTCCACTTGGTCTGACCTCCATCCGCCGCCCCAGGTCAGGCTGGGCCCCGTCGCCGCCCCAGGTCAGGCTGGGCCCCGTCGCCGCCCCAGGTCAGGCTGGGCCCCGTCGCCGCCCCAGGTCAGGCTGGGCCCCTGTCGCCGCCCCAGGTCAGGCTGGGCCCCGTCGCCGCCCCAGGTCAGGCTGGGCCCCTGTCGCCGCCCCAGGTCAGGCTGGGCCCCTTCGCCGCCCCAGGTCAGGCTGGGCCCTGTCGCCGCCCCAGGTCAGGCTGGCCCTGTCGCCGAGCCCTTCATCCTGCATTGCTCCTGAGCATGGTGTGCAAAGCTCACCAGTGGATTTCTTCAGACTCCAGGAGAACCAAGCTGGAAGCACAGAGGGCCCAGCTCCACCGTCGGCACTGACAGCTGCTCACAGCTTAGTTTCGAGGCCTGATTCTGAGCAGATGCCCGGGGGGCGGGGGATCGTGCCGTCTGCTGTAAGAAAGCACTCGCAGGCGTCACACATGCACGGCACAGGTGGGGCCCCCTGGTCTCTGGTTGGGATGGTCTCACCTCCAGGAGGCTCTGTTGGAGACGCAGCAGCAGCTGGCAGAAGAGACGGGGTGACTATAGGGAGGTGGCCCGCATCAGGGCCTCTCTGCCAGGCCCTCAGTGGCAGGAAGGGGTGAAAGGCTGCCTGGGCTCTGTCCTCGGCATGAGGCTAATCTGAGGGAACAACCACAAGCTGGGGTTCCCGGGCTGCTCCTGGGGCCTGTGGATTGTTATCCACACTTGAGGCTGAAGTATCACAGGGAACCCAGCAGCATCGCCCCAACTCCCGGGTAGGGGGATGAGCAGAGCTAGGGCCAGCTGTGCAGTTGTGGGGTGCCCGCAGTCTGTGCCCACTGTCCTCGCTCGTCCTGGAGATTCGGGCTCCTCAGGCAAGGTTCGCTGTTTTAGTTACCAGGGAGCCCTCAGTTGCGGCTTCCTGGTCAAGGCACGGCAGGAAGGAGGCCAGGCAGCTCCTCGCTCCGCCTCGGATGCGGGGGCGTCCCGAGTCTTCTCCCCAAAATCCCAGCCTGGCGGTGGTTCCGTGCTGTGCGCACTGACGTGTCCACTCTGAGTTCTTCCCTTGCAGGGTTGGCTCCAGTAGCTCGGAATGTGACTGTAGTTGGACAGGGCCCCCAAAGCCAGGTCACTGTTCCGGTCCTGATCCAGTGTCCCTGCTGTCCTTACCGAGGAGGGGAATAGGGTGCTCGAAGTATGAAGAAGCACGCAGGAGGACACGGAGCGCAGTCAGTGGCGCGGGGGCGCGGCCGGGAAACTAGACCGCACCCTGCCTCACCCGCCGGGAAGGAACGGACGCTGCCGCGCTCCTCTGCTGGACAGCTGGCGCTCTGCGGGAGGAAACACCACGCTTCTCTCCCACGCAGGCTGCGGCGTTACTTCCGGAGGCCCTTGGCCCTAATCTGCTGGCGTTCTCCAAACCTCACAGCTGTTTCTACTTCACACATTTGTAAGGCGATTAGAACAGCAAAACTTAGCTTTTAATCATCTATTGTTTTTGAATTTGGTTACAAAGCCAATTCATATCATTGTTTTAAGAATATCCATATTATTCCATTCTGACAGATAAATGGCATTTTTCATATATAAATATTGACAAAGACTTTGAGATCATAGTTTAAGACTTTTATCAAGGGGAATAAATTATTTTTTAAAACTTTATTCATGATGACACATAAGGTTTGATATGGACAATAAAAGTTGTAGCAGTGACAGACTCTAAATGTATTGTTGTGGTACTGGGGTTTGAACTCGGGACCTTGTGCTTGCCAGGCAGGCGCTGATGCCTGCTGTGCTACCTCCCTGGCTCCTCTGACTTTAAATTTAAACTGAAATCTTAAATATAAAACTCGGAATGGTTTTGATTGCTTTTAAAATATTATTGCTATTGCCTTTGAAGATTTCATTGATTTCCAGGTAATTGTGCTTTTCTATTGAATGATGCACAGTGGCTGATTCGATCTTTGTCATGTGAAGTTCCTTTGCTGCATACTCACTGTTCAATTCTTACCTTAAAACCGCAGGTCCTGGGAAGTCCTGAGGATGCTGACCAGGGCCAGCGAGGGAGACAAGTGCACAGCAGCCGAGTGCGGCCACAGAAGGCAAGCTTCTGTCCTGTGGGTCCTGAGCCGGGGTGGGTGGCTGTGCCACTCTGCAGAGCTCCGTCCTCAGGTGAGGTTGCTGTGGGAGAAGTGCTGGGGACTGATGTGTCTGGCCTGGACGGAGGCCCCTGAGCCAGCCCCAGCCCCCAGCTCTGCTGGCTGCACTTTGCATGCATTCACTCCTGCACTCACTCATTCATTCCCTCCCTCATTCCCTCACTCATTCACTCATTCACTCGTTCACTCACTCAGTCACTCACTCATTCCTCACTCACTCATTCAGTCACTCGCTCATTCCCTCACTCATTCATGCACTAACTCATTCATTCACTCATTCACTTAATCATTCATGCACTTATTCATTCACTCACTCATTCGTCACTCATTCATGCACTCACTCATTCATTCACTCATTCACAGTCATTCATTCACTCATTCATTCATTGACTCATTCATGCACTCATTCATGTACTCATACACTCATTCATACACTCATTCATGCACTCATTCACTCACTCATTCAGTCACTCACTCATTCATCACTTAGTCATTCACCCATTCATTCAATCACTGGCTTATTCATTCACTCATTGAGTCACTCATTCACTCACTTATTAACTCATTCATTCCTTTGCTCATTCACTTATTCACTCATTCACTCACTCATTCTTCACCCACTCATTCATTCATTCGTCCACCCATTCTTCCATCCATCCTGCCAGCCAGCCATCCCACAGAACACTTCTATTATAAAATGTGAAGACTGGGACACACAATGCGTGATGACACACACCGGCCTCATGGTGCACATGGAGCTGGACTCATCCCTCCTGCATGCTCTGAGCTGCTCCGCCATTCACCTTGCCTATCTGCTTCCTGAGTTTTTGAATTGTAGTCCTTTCCCTGCCCTTTCTTTTAAGCATCTCTATAGTGGAGTGACTGCGGCAGAGGGTGAGAGGGTAATTCCCAGTCACAGGCCACCAAGCACCTTTGCAAGGTCTCTTGTGCCTCTTGTGTGCGTAAGCAGCTACCCAATGAGTCTGCGTATCTTTCACTTGTGTAGACTCTGTTATCACTCAGGATTAGCAGAGAGGTACCAAGGTCACAGCCAAGCCTGTGGGAGTCATAGCCATGCCTGGGGTCACCCTGAGGGCCACTCTTGGTTGTTTTTCTGCAGGAAATGTTACAGATGTCTCCACTGTTTTGAACGTTCTGTGACACTCTGTCCTTCTATGACTTGAGTAAGGAATGACAAATGACACTTGGGTGACTGAATTCATCCTGAAGGGCTTCTCGGACGTGCCTGAAATGAAGGTTGTGAGTGCTGCGCTCTTTCTTGTCATCTACCTCCTCGCCCTCCTGGGTAACATCGCCATTGTTGCGGCTGTGACCAGGGACAGCCGCCTGCACACCCCCATGTACTTCTTCCTGAAGAACCTCTCCTTCCTGGACATGTGCTACACCTCGGTCACTGTCCCCAAGGCACTGGTCAGTTCCCTCACGGGCTCCAACGTCATCTCCTTCCAGGGCTGCGTGGCCCAGCTCTTCCTCTTTGTGACACTGTGTGCCTCAGAGTGCTTCCTGCTCACAGCCATGGCTTACGACCGCTGCTTGGCCATCCACAGGCCTCTCCTCTACAGTGTCACCATGAGCAGAAAGCTGTGCTCGGAGCTGGTCGCAGTGGCCTGGCTGAGCGGGGCTTTCTATGCCATCTTCCACACTGTCAACACCTTCTCCCTCCCCTTCTGTGGGCCCAATGTCATCGACCACTTCTTCTGTGACAGCACGCCCATCATGAGGCTCTCCTGCAGTGACGCCCACGCCAACGAGGAGGTGGGGTTTGCTGTGGGGGGGTGCGTGATTCTCGGGGCCTGCGCCCTCACCATCATCTCCTATGTCCTCATCGTCACTGCTGTCATGCAGATTCACTCTGTGGGTGGCCGCCGGAAGGCCTTCTCCACCTGCTCCTCACACCTCATCACAGTCATTCTGTTTTACATCACCGGGAGCTTTGCTTACTTGACGCCCACTGCCCAGTACTCACCAATGGAGGGGCGCTTAGAGTCTGTGTTTTACTCCATCCTCACACCCAGCCTAAACCCTGTTGTGTACTGTCTGAGGAACAAAGACATGCACACGGCCCTGAGGAAGCTGTTTGTCCCACCCAGGTGCACACAGGTCCTCTGAATACTGTTCATATTACTGCCCTGCTTGGTTAGTCAATTCTTCTTTCTTGTTTGCAGCAGCAGGGATTGAACCCAGGACCTCGCACTTGCCAGGCAGACACGTAGGCCTCTGAGCTACATCCCCAGCCTGATTAGTCAATTCTTTGCAGAAATGGATTGCATGTTCTCCACTTTGCAAAGGTACAAAGAAAGAAAATAAGGTACAAATCTTTGCAGAGTTTACTTTATTAGTTGCAGACACTTCCATAACCTATGCTCTCTATTGAATTTTATCTGATAAAGATAAAATGAGATAAATACATAGTGCTATTTTAGCCAATTTTTGTTTTTCTTATTCACTCAAGAGGGGCTGTCTTTGTTATTTTCTTTTTTTTGAGACCATATTCCTGAGACCCAAAGTTAAAGGAGAGGTGGATTGCTTTAGCTTGCATCTTGTAGAGGTTTCAGTCCATAACTGGCAGGCTGCAAGGCTGGGTGGCACAGCACGGGGATAGGAATGAGCAGAGAGTCCTTCCTTTCCCTTTTACTCCATCCAGGCTACGACCCTATTGGTTGGTGCTTCCCATGCAAGGGTGGGTCTCCCCTCTTCAGTAAATCCGTCACCCACACCCAGAACTATGCTAAACCCATCAGTGGGCTAATCCAGTATTACACACCCCTGATCTGGACACCCCCACCAAAGCTCCACTTATGAATGCATGAGGCTTTGGGGGGACACCTAGACGCAGGATGAACCACACGGGGGTGACAAAAGCAGCCTGTCTAGTCTGGCTCTTGGCCCACTGCCTCTGTACAGGGGAGAAACAGCCTGCTCACTGTGCTCACAAAGGGCTGGTGAAGAGAGGGGAGGGCTTCTCCTCCTTGGTGGTGAGGGCCAGGAGAGCAGTGTTGGCACTCACGTGGCTGCACGTGGCTGGGGTGGCATGAAAAGGACGCCTGCACTTTTCAGAGCCACGCCCAGTTTCTGCAGCCAGCTGCGCATTCGTGTGAGCTGTGCCCCGCACGCGCATGCACTGTGGGTCAGACAAGCGGGTGGGTGGGCAGGCAGCTGCTGGCATGCAGACCGGGGGCGAGAGCGAGGCGGGCCGCTAGTGCTTGCGCTGGCACGCGTCCGCAGGTACAGAAGATGCAGCTTATATTTCTAGTTTTTCACGTTTATAAAAATTAATAACTTCATGTACAGATTATGTTTAAGATTTCTAAGTTGCAGACATGAGATTTTTGTTTCTTTGCTTTCGCTAGAACACACATGTGCTCACACGTGTATATCGGACTCAGCATAGATATATGACACCCGACTGGGTTACTGCACGTGAGAGCAGCAGTCCCAGCCTGAGACCGGCTGCCAGCATCCAGGAAGACAACTCTCCCGCAGACCCTGGGGAGTGCGGGTGATTTGGGGTGCTCGCAATGTGCTGCTTTGGCTGTATATTTTATTTCTATTATTATTGCCTTGTTCCATATTATGAAATATTATGCAGCTCACCATAATGCACAATCAGTGGCAGCCCTGAGCTTGCTGTCTTGTAACCAAATGGCCCCTCTGGGGGTAGGAGGGGACAGTGGCCCCCCAAGGGCATTACTTAGGCCCAGGCTGCCTCCTACTCTCATTGTTGCAATCACAGAACTCCCTGTGTCCCACGGATACACTGCTGGGCCTGGAAGCAGCTCCTCAGTGCCTCTGAAGCGCCCTGGGGACCCGCCGCTTCACTTTTGTCTAGAGCGTGGCGGTGTGCAGTTAAGGCCACCGTCATTCCTGATGTGGAGAAGTTGGCCCTCTTCTAGCACGAAGTTGCCTCCCTGAGCTCACTCACAAGTGGGTGCGTTCTTTCACAGTTTGGGATCTTGTGGCTGGGAAGCAAGACCCCGCCTCTCTGGGAAGACATGGAAGGTGCCGTGCTCCTGGAGGACGAAGCCCCGGCTCAGTCTCTCAAAGCCTCTTTGAACGTCAGGTACCTGTCGAGCCTCTGAATGTCCCCTCGTGGCCCCACGGCTCCTATTTGGCTTTTGCTGTAGCCTCCCTCTCTGCTGACTTGCACACAGCTGTGATGCTCCCCATGCATGGCAGACGGAGTTCACTGGGCAGGCGTAATAGATCATAGAAGCGAAGCGTTCTGCGGTCTAGTCTGCGTCACCGAGCTGTGCAGCCGGTGGTGACTGTCTTTCCAAAAGAAGTTATCTGAGCAGCTGTGGCAACTCGAAGCTCGGGACAGTGACCTACTTTCCAAGCCATTGCCCTTCTGTGTGTAAGAGCAGACCTTTGGGCTCCACGTCATTCCACATTCTGGAAGAGAAATATATTTCTTTCATGTCAAACAATTTGCTGTTGATTTGAGAACCGTAACAGAAATGTCACAGATCTATGAGGGCTAAAGTCTGTACAAAGAAGCCCATTAGAAAGTGTGGTCTTGGGCCCATCACGGTGCAGAATGGCCAGCAGATGCCCACCGGGAGCTCGCACATAAGGCCTGAGAACACCGGGCGAGGCACAGCGAGGAGCCTCTGGAGCTCGCGACGTGCAGGAGGAGGAGTTCTGTGAGGGTGGGGAGGCCGTCGGTGTCTAAAGCTCTGCTCTGCTCCTGCGACCAGTGGGCAGAGCAGTCGGGTGACAGCACGAGCCAAGCAAAGGAAGGGCACTGCTACTGCACACGAGGGCTAAACTGCAAGGCAGGTTTGGCCAAATCGTTTTAAGATCCATGCTTCAGTGCAATTCCACTTTAGCGGAGCACCCTTGCGAAGTGATAAATCAGAAACGCTGAGTGCGCGCCAGGACGCTGGTTTCCCAGTTCCAAAACGTCGGGACGTAAGAAGCCACAGACGAGCGAACGGCACAGGGTGCTGTCTGTACCAGTGCACTTTGGAAACTGAGTTTGTCTTAATGAAATATACAAATAAAACGTCATCATACTGAGATAAGCGACCAGATCACAGCCAGGCACGGCCGAGGGCCGGGGCGGGCTGGCGTTCTGCCCACCAGGGTCTCTCACGAAGACCCCCGGCCCAGAGCCGCCTCCAGCCCTCTGATTCTACACCTGCCCACGCCAGGTTCTCTCCAGAACATACTTATTCCAAACTCCCAGGGGAACCCGCTTGGGGCTTCTGGGTTTTGCCCTGAGACTTCTTCTTGAGTCAAACATTCCCTACAGATTTCAGTCATTCTTCTTACTTAAGAAATGGGATTTTAAGGATAAGTTTAGTGACTATGTGAACTGGAAAAAACACAACAAGAAGGCAAGAGAAGTTACACAAAAGAATAAGCTGGCGGTTGTTGTGCACACGAGGAAAGTCCAAGTCTTCGACACAATCACTATGGAAAGAATCTGGGGCTGAAAGCACAACTGCTCAGAGGTTGCGAGTTCTCAAGGTACAAGCGGCGCTGTACGTAGAGGCTCCTCCAGCGCATTTTCTCCTAACCGGAAATGCTGAATCACATGCATGTAAACTGCATGGGGCTAAAGCCGCCCTGGTGATCCTGAGGTGCCAAGCAAGAGCGTCGCGGACAGGAAAAGCCACAGGGCTTCTTTGGAAATAGCTTTTATTATTAATTTGTGGGTTCATTTAGCTCTACAGAGTGATCACATTCTTCTCAGGTTTTACCTGCGTAGAGTGCACCTCAACTGTTCTTCTCTCCACTCCCTCCCTCCTCATCAAGCCCTCCTTGTTACAGAAGCTTTTCATTTTCCCTCTCCTCTCTTTCTTTCTTTCTTTCTTTCTTTCTTTCTTTCTTTCTTTCTTTCTTTCTTCCTTCCTTCCTTCCTTCCTTCCTTCTCTTTCTTTCTTCTTTCTTTCTTTCTTTCTTTCTTTCTTTCTTTCTTTCTTTCTCCTTTCCTCCTCTCCCTTCTCTAGTTCCTCTTTCCACTTGGACATTTCCTTCCTATCTCACAATATGTATTATATATTTGGCCCTTATTTACCCTTTTGGTGTCTAACAACTAAAAAAACAATGTGATATTTGAACTTGTGTGTCCAATTTATTTTACTTACTGATATGATCTTGTGATGCACTAATTTAACTAGAAATGTCTCAAAATTTTCCTTCTTTGTGACACAGTGATATCCTGTTGTATATAAACAATCTTTAGCTATTCATCAGTTGATGGCACTTGGCTTGTTTCCAAGATTTAGCTATTGTTGACTGTGCTGTAAACACAGCCCTGGGTATGCACGTATCACTGTGGTAGGAGGCTTTTAATTATTTTTTGAAGATACCAAGAAGGAAAATAGCTGAGTCAAAGGGGACCTCTAGTTTTAGCTTTGTGAGTAATCTCTACACTGATTTACACAATGTTCACACCAATCTACACTCCCACTAATAGTGGAGAAGGGTTCCTTTCCCTCCACAGCCCCAACCAGCATTTGTTCTTGATTGATTTTAAAGGACTTCTTGAGAATATAAATTTATTTTTGTTTTCTATATTTCTTTTTTGTTGTCATAGAACAAGAAAAACAATAATATTCTGTGATTAAAAGATTAATTAAATCATTGGGTGACCAAATTAAAAAGACTTCTGCTTTGTAAGACTGAAATTTTGTAGAATATACACCGGAAGTGTTTCCCTGAAAAGAAAGATGTTGCTAGTTCATCCATGTCCCGCATTTATTGCTAAAACTGTTCACCAGGACAGAACCCAAAGCTTAGTGACAAATGTTCTTGTGTGGTGCGCAGCTCAAATTTCTTGGAGCTATTGTTCATTAACATCTTATCTATCACTTTGGGTACAATTTCTTTTTGGCCAAGCAAGCTAAAAAAAATGTGCAGAAAATTAGTGTCTCCTGTTGGCCTTCAACTTCAACAGCAGGACTCCTTAGGAACCAGTGCTTTGTCCTCCATTTCAGTTCTTTAAAATGCAAAAAAGGCTTTCCCCCCAAAGTTGGAGGACCCTAGAACACAAATCAGCACAGTATTTAGAATGGGAGTTCTGCAAAGAACGACATGATTTCATTAGACGAGGAGCAGCAGGATCACGCTAGCAGGTTTTTCAGCTCAGCTGAGTCGCACTG